TGTTAGGGAAGTCACCTATTTCTCCTGCTCTTGAAAGTAGTGGTCTTAAGAAAAGGAGGTCCTGGGTGCCTGGGTGGCTCAGATGGTTGAGTGTCTGCCTTCGGCTCAGGTCATGATCCCAGGGTCCTGGGATCGAGTCCTGCATTGGGCTCCCTGCTCAGCGGGGAGCCTGCTTCTCCCTCTGCTTCTCTCTCTCTCTCTCTCTCTCTCTCTGTCTCTCATGAATAAATAAATAAAATCTTTAAAAAAAAAAAAAGAAAAGTAGGTCCTGTAGTGTCCTACAGTGCAATGTCCCATGTTCACCAGAAACTGGCTCTTGGGGGTGTCTCTTATATATGTTGCATGTACTCTATTGTTGTGGCTGAGCTGTGTTTGTCTTCAGTCAAGTCATCTGCTATGTCTCTCTTTGCCTGTTGTGGGCAGGGTTTGGTCCCTGTGTTGTTAGTGGGTCAGTCTGGAGGTGCCTTGGGCTTGAGTTGAGTCAGACCAGGCCTTTTCAGGAGCTGTGGTGGCACAGAAATGCAGCGTGTTATCCCTGTGTTGTCCCCTGTAAGGCTTTTGTTGGTGGGTGGGGCTTGCAGTCAGAGATGATATCTGTTCCCAGTCCACTGCTGCAGCCATAGTTGAACTGGTATGTGTGATTTTCTTCCCCTCTCACTGGGGCAGGAGACATTTTGAGGTGGTGCTGGCCCCTTAAAAGGCTGCTTGCACACTGCCACACTTGTGGCATGGCTTTGGATGAACTGTCAAGGGCATGTTGGATGGGGTGGGTCTGCAGAAGAGCATGAGGGTGGGGCATGCTGTTATCAAGCTAGGTGGGTAGTGTTGGTGTTATGTTCGTTGCCACAGATGTCGGTGTATGTAGACTGGCGGGGGAGGGGATGGTACCCACTAGCTCTTTTGTTCTTGGAGATATCACTTAAAGATCCCCGCCCCTCCAGCATACCCTCTGAGATTAGTAAACAAATCTCTCTCCGGTATTCCCCAGGCATTTTTCAAACTGCTGGTCTACGCTGTATCTCAGCAGGGCTATTTGTTGCACTGTCTCTTTAAGGGTGAGAACTCAGTTTCCTATTGCTCTCCAGCTCTCCCAGAGCTGAGCCTGCTGATTTTTAAAGTTCCAGGTGTTAAGCTCCACTGATTGTAAGAACTCCCGAAGTTAGGTTCCTCTGGTTTTCAAAGCCGGATGTTATGGGGATTTGTCTTCCCAGTGTAAGTTCCCTATGCCTGGGGTGCCTGGTATGGGGTCTGCTCCTCCCTCCTTCCTAGCACCTGGGGTGTTCCTCCCTCCTAAGGACAGACCCCTGGGTCAGTTTGCTCCTGTGTCTCTACCCTTCCTACCCTCTTTGGTGTGGCCTCTTCTCTACATTTAGCTGTGAAGAGTCTGTTCTGATTGTCTTTGGGTCTTTTTCTGAGTTGTTTACACTGATGTGGGTGTTATCTAGATGTATCCATGGGATGAGGTGGGCCTAGGATTCTCTTACTCCACCGTCTTCCCAGGAAGTCCTCTGTCATCATTATTATTTTTTATAGCAGTTTTAAGTAGACTTTAAGGGTCTCAGAGCATAATGTCAGTTAGGGATATTGATTTAAGAATGAAGACTTGGCAAAATAGAACAAAAGAACAAAATAACTAGAATGTTGACAATGCTGGCAAGAAAGTTGAGATTGAACAAAGTACTTCTAAAACCTAAAATGCAAAGTAGCAGGGGGTGAGGGAGTTGGGACAGGACAGCAAGAGAGGGACTCTGTCATGAAGGAAAGATATTTAGTTCACGTTATACATGGACAAAGTATTGATGACATCTTAAGCATAGGTGTGCTTTGATTAGATTTTAAAAAGTCACTCCAATGATAGGTTAAATGGGGTGCAACTAGAGGTAGGAATACTAGAAATATTATTTAAATTGTTCATCTTTGAAAGGCTGAGAATGTATCTGTCCTGTGACATTACAAGTGTTCATCAGTGAGAAAACTCATAAATAGGTAAGTTTAGGAGGCAAAGCTGTTGTAATGTAATGATTGCATATGAGGACAAAAAGGAATCTAGAGTTTCTGCCTTGCATGACTGCAGATTCAGGAGGAAGAGCTCAACTGTATGGATCAATATCTTGTGTTTTCCAAACCTTGGGAACTATTCAGATAGCAGATCAATCGCTTTGGCTTTTATTCAGATGCTTTGGAATCTAATACTAATTAGGAAAAATTGAATATATATTTTATATATATATATATATATATGAATAGTTAATTTTAGGTTGATTAAAATTACAAGGCAGCTCCACAACAGAGATTGGTTATTAGAATAATTGATGGCCTCTATTATATAGGCTCCAAGAGTGAATTTAGGGTTAAGATTGTCTACTTGATGACAGCAGAACACTGCAAGCATCCTCTCTTACTGATATTATTATGAATGTATTCCAGAATTCAGGATAGTTTTCCTAGGAGAAAAGAGTTTTGAAGATAGCTTTGGAGCAGGTATATGGTAAGGGGACTCAAGGAATCAGAAGAAGGCTGAGGATTGGAGAACATAATCGGGGTAGCTCTAGAGAGGTATTTAAAGCAAAGGAATCAACAAAGATCAGTTTAGAAGTAAATGATGGAGAAAGCAGAGAACCTTGAGGAGAAGGAATTAGAGCATCATTTACAAACCTAGAAAACAGAACAAGAGGTTATTAATGGGAGAGGATGAAGGGGTAGAAATGTGTAGATGTCAATAGAGAAGTTTGTTATCACTGGTAAGGGATTTATAGTGTAGAAGTGAATGAAGAATCTATTCTGAGATAACTGAGCATTTGACAGATATCCATTTTTTTCTTTCTGCACAAAGATATTCATGTCTGTACCTCCCTTCCACTTTTTTTTTTTTAACCTATTGAGAGGAATTTAAGAAAATGAATCTTTTTTCATTAAAGAAAAGCATTCTTCACACTTGGGAATTTTATAAAAGCATGGTGCCACATTTTTTTATTAGTATAAATTAGGATAACATCTAGATGTATTTGCGAATTAGAAACAAATATATTGCAAATACTTGTTAATATAGTGAATAGGAAAATATAATAAAAATATATGTATGTTAATACAAACATAATAAACATTTTTAGACTTTTCAGAGTCTCTTAGAAATTCTTCAATAATTAACTATTCAAAAGTACAATAGACTGAATTATTTAGGTAAAATATGACTCAGCATAGAATTATAGCCCTATGATTTTAACATGATAATTTCATGGATAATCTGGATGAATTAATAAATTTGCTGTATATATTGAAGTTATCTTAAAAGGTAATGAGATTTCTGTGGCCATTATCATTAATTTACAAAATTCTTTACCAAAAGCTATAACATAATATGCAAAGACACCCTACATAGCCTTGAAACTGCTTCATTTCTTTTGTGAGAAGAGACCAGTCAGTGGAAACAATCAGAGAAGACCTTTCATTTATGTCTAATCACATGAATCAGTTATATGAACACTGGCTAAGCAGAATTGTTTCTAAGTAAAGCTTATGTGAGGGAATTGTTAAACTTTCTCAATTTGATTGAATTCTGCTTGATTTTCAATTATCCCTGATTTTCAGATATTTTGGGTAATGCCAGTGTATTCAAATATTAATTGTGTAGCAAGAATTCTGTATTGCAAATACACATATGAATTTGCACATAAAAAGAAAGGACTATTTTGGATATGTTTACTTGAAACTTAGAAGTTTAGGATAAGTTGTTTGCATTTATCAGTTTTAAATGTTTTTAGAACTCAAGATTAGATGATATGAAAATCTTTGCAATAGATCTGATGAACATCTTGTTAATATGTTACAAAGCAAAATCAAGAAATATCATTTACTGAATTTGTAAACCAAGCTTTTGCTAAGTTTAATTGTTATGGTCATACATTTGCCTGCTATATAAGGCCATATATATAAATATAAATAAATAAGTAAATAAATATATATGTAACATAGTAATATAATAGCACATAATAAATATTAACATTTTGATTAACTGATACTCCCTAAATTCTCTTATGAGTTGATAGAATCAAATCAATAATTTTGCAGGGGGACCTCTGTTTAAAGATTTGGCTTTTGAATCATTTATAATTTTAGTATTTGTCTTAAAGTACTGGATGATTTTTAAAATAGCACAAGAATACATACACCTAGATATTTTTTCTTTCTTTCTTTCTCTTTTTTAATTTGTTGGGGGGTTGGTGGGTTGCATTGTTTCAGGCAGATAACATTTGTAAAGTACTCTTTTCTTTTGATATGAAAGCATATCTACATTTCCCAGCATAATCCAAATCATTTATTAAATGTTCATTCTGGCAAATAATTAGTGACACGTTTTTCATAAATTAAAACTTGCACTGTATTTCAAACTTTGCTTTCAATCTCTTATCATTGTTGATGTCAATTATGTTGATGTTGGGTGCTGCATCTTTTGAATTCTGGTCATTTTTTTGCAGTTGCGCAATAGTAGGAGTACTTTAAGTTTTTAAAATTTTAAACACTTGAAGCGTGTTAGATTTTCTAAGGATTATGGTCATATTATTGTAGTCATATTATTATACTATTATATTTTTACAATGGAAGAAAATCTATCTCATTTCCAATGTGAATTGAACTTACATTGATGGTGATTTACATCTTTTCAAGTCACACAATTCCAAATTAAGATAACTAATTTAGATTTTGTCAGTGAATTATTTTCCAAATGGAAACATGCACATACCATTCTATATTGATGTTCTTCCAGGGAATAAATGAGGTATAATATATAATACTTCACAATTTGTTTATATTTTATTTCAAATTTAAAGCACTGTCTCATTAGCACAACAGAATTTCTTCCATTTTTATGGATGTTTAAGGTGCCTGTTTTGTATGAACTAATAGAAGGACTGTTTTCAGAATCACACAAGCAACAAGAATATTGTGGTCATTTCACAAATAATGTCCTATTACAATCTGTCTATTTCTCTTTCCTCTAGTTAACTTCTTCTCCCACTACCTCTGAGCAGCTTGCCTGTAAACCACCTGCTTTCTCCTTTGTTTCTCCAACTAATCAGAAAACGCCACCTGACCCAGTTAACCTCGACGGAGCCTCTGTGCTAGAGGAGTTCCACACTAGGAGGCTGGATGTCAGTGGGGCCTTGGTGGAAGAAACAACTACGTATTTTCAAACTTCTGCTCACTCTTCACCCTTTTTTGCATCGAAGGGCACCTCTTCGACGTCACAGTTTCCCCATTCCACTCAGTTATCAGTTTCTAATTTATCCAGTCCAAGAGCAGCAGATCAGAAACCTGGACTGGCATCTGAAGTTCTGAAGAAGACAACAGCTTTCACCTCGCATGTCTTTAGCCCCAGAGAAAGCCCGAGAACCACTTCTCCTTCACCATCCTCCAGTGCTTCTGTGAAGTCGAATTCGGGCTTGTACATACCAGTCCGTATTGTCACACATTCGCTCTCTCCAAGTCCCAAACAGTTTACCTCCTCTTTCCATGGCTCTTCTTCCACTATCTGTAGCCAAGTGTCATCTACTGGAAATCTCTCAAAGTCAGGGGTGAAATCCCCAGTGCCTTCCCGGCTCTCCCTTCTCACTGCCATGCTCAAGTCAAACCCTTCTCACCAAAGACCCTTTTCCCCTGCATCCTGTCCCACTTTCTCTCTCAACTCCTTGGCTTCTTCCACACTCACACTCGATCAAAAAGCAAAACAAACCCCACCCACACCTAAGAAATCTCTCTCTAGTTGCTCCCTGAGGGCAGGGTCTCCAGAACAAAGGGAACGTCAGCTTTCTGAACTTAGCCAGCAATCCTTTCACTTACCTTTTTTTGCCAAATCTCCTCCCCTTTCTCAGGCATGCTCCTTCTCTCCCACAAAACATGTCGATAGTAGCCTTGTTTCTTTGAATGTAGAGAAAACATCACCCACTTCTTTGAAGAGTAACCCAACACTCTCCCTGCTACAGACTGATACATTGAGTTCTGCAGGTCTTCCTCCTGTTCCACCAAGCGTTCCTTTTCTTTCTTTGAAGGGCAAACAGGATGTTGACCTCAGAGGTCCAGAAAAGCCCAGGAATATTCACATACATCCTACATCAGCCTCCTCTGCATTATCTTCTCTATCTCCTCCCACTAATCAAAGGGCTGTGCTCCCCTCTCCAGAGAAATGTTTCCATCCTTCCCCAGCTCTTTCAAACCTGATAAACAGATCCAAGAGAACAACCCCACAGCTAGCTGACCAGGGGCAGAATCCTTCCACTCCTCCTTCACCCCCTGTCTCTAGTGCTAGCTCTGCCTCTCTTTCCAAATTGGGGTCCTCCCCTCTCCCTCATGCTAATCTGCCTACCCAGGCACTCCAGCTCCATCCTTCAACACTGTACCCAAATTGTGGCAGTGGTACCTTGCCTTCAAGACTTGGAAAATCTGAAAGCTCAATATCCAACCACAGGTCATCTGTTTCAACCCCATCACCTCCCATCTCTCTAACAAGAACCAAGGAGCTGATTTCACCCTGTGCATTGTCCATGTCAACAGACCCTGAAAATAAGAAACCCAAGGTATTTTTTTTTTTTTTTTTGCATGTTGCATGGTGCATGTTTATTTTGAAATACAGGAGAATCTTTTTTTCCAGGGTTAAAATAACTATGATATTAATTTTGCTCCTACATGGAGTTATAGAAAGTTTAAGTGGGGCTAGGATTTGGTATATTTGAATGTGGAAGTGAATTATAATCTATCTAAAAATGTGCATGTTTTGGTAAAAAGCTTTGATTTTGCAAATCCTTCTGTTACGGCAGCTTCTTATATCTATGAGTTCAAGAGCATTTTTTTTCAGGCATAATATGAATTACATGATTGATCACAAAGATGGGATTTAAAGCAGAGAGTTTAGATTTGAGAATATCATACCTTTCTGATTATTTAATTACATGGACTGTATTGTCCAACAAAATATTCTATACTGATAGAATAGTAGTTGGGAGCAGTGTAAAGTGGAATATTATCTAGATCTAGGTTGACATTATTGCCAAGGCAAGTTGAAAACTTTCTATTTCCTTTGTTGGCATTCATTTATTATTATCAATTTTTCCCTTTTTACCAAGTTGATTACTGTTCCTCATACCTCCTCAAATCCATACCAATATGGATTTAGCTATATACATATAGGGCAAAAAGGAATAGAAGTTTCTTTTATATGTGAATATTATATATGATTTATTTTGAACACTAAATACTTAGGAATTATGAAAAACAGAAAGGATGGATAGGCTGGGTATGAGGAAATAGAATTGAGAGAGGAGAAATACTGACTTCTAAATGCTCTGAAGCAACCCATTGAGCAAGAATGTGACACTGACATTTATTTATTTACTTATTATTTTTATTTCATTTTATTTTATTCTTTTTATTATTGGAGTATAATCAGTGTACAATGTTATATTAGCTTCAGCTGTACAACAAATTGATTCAACAATTTTATGCTTTGCTCAGTGCTCACCATGATAAGTGTATTTACCATGTAATACTATTAAAATATTATTTTCTATGCTGTACTTTCATCTCTGTGGCCTACATATTTTATAACTGGAAGTTTATACTTCACCTCTCCTCTGACAACCACCAGTTTCTTCTCTGTATTTACGAATCTGGGTTTTTGTTTGTCTTTTCTTTTGCTTTGTTTCGAGATTCCACATATAAGTGAAACAATATGGTACCATGCACTGTTGGTGGGAATATAAATTGATACAGCCACTGTGGAAAATAGTATGGAGGTTCCTCAAAAAGTTAAAAATAGAAATACCATATAATCCAATAATTCCACTACTGGATATTTACCCAATGAAAACAAAACTGCTAATTCAGAAAGATAGAGGCACCCCTGTATTTATTGCAGCATTATTTATAGCAGCCAAAATATGGAAGCAACCTAAGTGTCCATCCACAGATGAATGTATAAAGAAGGTGTAACACACACATACACACACACACAGAAAGAGAGAGAGAGAGAGAGGAATATTATGTAGCCATAAAAAAGCATGAGATCTTGCCATTTGCAACAACATGGATGGACCTATACGGTATTATGCTAAGTGAAATAAGTCAGACTGAGAAAGAGAGATACCATATAGTTTCATTCATATGTAGAATCTAAAAAGCAAAAGAAATGAAGAGAGAAACAAAAAGAATCAAACCTGCGAACAGAGAACAAACCGATGGTTGCCAGACGGAAGGGGGGGAGGAGGAAGGGCAAAATGGGTGAAGGGGAGTGGGAGATACAGGATTCCAGTTATGGAATGATTAAATCATGAGAATAAAAGGTACAGCATAGGGAATATAGTCAATGGTATTGTAATAATGTTTTTTGGTGACAGATGGTAGCTACACTTGCAGGAGGCACAGCATAACAGAGATGTTGAAGACCATGTTGTATACCTGAAACTAATGTAACACTGTGTGTCAACTATATTCAAATGAAAACACTTAAAAAACCCACTGTACTCTGGAGACTGGCATTTATTTTAATATGAGAAGGAAAATATTTGAAGGTGTGATTCATAGAGATTTTTCCTGGTAGAAGGGCAACTCTGCTCTAGAGCATACCAGCTTCCCAACTAGTCTCAAATAATTAGCATGTGGATCCTGTAGAACCAGAATTTTGTTATTGTTGTATAAATAAAATAAAATTATGGAAAGTGCCTGTATTAGGAGGGGACTGTGATTTTTAGTTCAGCGCATTGAAATAACACAGTTTGAGAGCTTCCAGCTTCCATGGAGATTGTGTTCAACTCTGTTACTATTTGAATGATGAAGTTAAGATGGGAAAAATAAACAGCCCACAGGATCTTGTTAATGATGTTGTAATACAATTCAACTTAACAGCATGCAGAAAACACCTGCCGTATGCCCACCACTATACCAGCTTTTCTGGGGATGTGTGTTTATGTGTATGTATGTTTTAAGGAAAGTAAGCAGTAATTCCTTGTCTTTAAAAAAATAATTTTTTTCAGCAGAAGAAAATATACATCTACATAATGTGAAGGAGCTGTATAGGGTTATTAAATCTACAATAAAACTAGAAAGCAAGTATAAGGCAATAGTAACATAGTAAAATACAGTTGATTATAATAATGGTTCACTGAATTCAACATAATAGAAATATTATGGGGTATGGCTAGTGAGGAAAGTTATAATAAATATCAGGTCTGTTGGAAATGTTTAGGATTTAGCTTAATGAAGAGGGAAGGAGCTAGCATTTCAGAAACAGTAAATAACCTGACCAGATTTATAGAAGATGAATGCAGAGGAGTATATGTGGAGACATAAAGAGATTGGTCTTATCATCAAATAGTGATAACTGTAATAATAATTATTTTAACAGTTATCACATGCTTTCTGTGAGATAAGAACAATCCTATACAAAATATACAAAGTAGTTAAAAATTAATTAAAAGAGACTATTCAGTTACTTTTTATGACCATATAAACTTGGTAATATTTTCTCCATATTATATATCAAAACACAAAAGCAATAACTCATATTCATTATCATTTTAACCTGATTTAATAATTCTTATGAAGGAAATCATCATTATGGAATAGTCAGAATTATCAATTTCTGTAATGTTTGGGTCATTTAAAAATGTATTTTTAGAGATTATTAAGTCTTGTATTTTAAACTTTCAAAGCAAATGGGATGGAGAAAATCTAACATTTTCTATAAATCTAAATTTAAAAATCTTATTTATTTGAGGTAAAATGACCTGGTGATTATCTTTTCAACACATACGTGTGATTATGGAATTTGTTTGTGGTATATTAAAAACAGTCTGCTGATGTAAACATTACTGTCTCCTGAATTTATTAACAATTATTTCTTAAACCATAATGACATAAGATTAAATTATTCATTACCTTTGTGAAAAGTGATTTTACTCTTCCAGAGGCTTCTTCAAAGTATTTCTGTTTGTGGTTCACTCTGCTTTGTTCATGTTTTGTCCTGTTTTTGGAGAGTTGAAGAGCCCAGAGGGCTTTTGATCAAGTCAAGGTCTTTTTTTGTCCTGAAATCAAGTTTGTTGAAGATCTGTTCTCCCCCAGCTCACTTACTGCTCCCAATATTGCAGAATTTTCAGCATTTGCTTTATTTTTTGTTTTATTTTTTTCAATTTCCAAGTTAAAAAATTCAGCTTATAAAAGTGCATTATAAATTTGATGAACATGAAAATATGAAGAATAATTATACATATTTTTACCTGCTTTTTGAACAAAAAATGATTCTTATGGGCAAAATTTATGATAACTTCTGCAAAAATAGTTGCTCTCTGAGTCATGCTGTCCTTAGTTATATTTATTTTTTCCTCGCTTCTTGCTATTATCTCTCCAGGTAAAAATCAGCCTACATTTTTTTTTTTATTGCAAACTATTATTTGCAGGAGTTGTAACTTGAGTATAAAAATTCATTAAAAATGGATGCTGGAATACGTAAATCTTATCCCAGTTTCCTTTGATGTTTGACTAGTTATGTTTGAATTGCTAAGATTATTTCATAGATTGATAAGAGGAAATAGACAAAAGCTTTGGGATATCAAAGAATTCTTATGTGTCCATGGATTGTTTCTTGTCTTGCTCCTTCCACTGTGGTGCTAATCCAAGCACAGGGCTCTCTTTGAAGTCAAAGAGCTTCAGGTTTAGATCAGCTTCACTCTGCCAGATCCCAAAAGAAAAGAAGTCCTAGAATACAAATGGCCATCAAATTAAAACATGAATGCCTGAAGGGTATTAGTTCAAAGTGTGGGTCCTGCTGTCCTTTGATATTGAAATAAAATGGAACAGCTGGAGTATACTGAGCTAAATTCAGATATGAAGCATATTTGATATTTCTTTTTCACAGAATCTTAAGGTTCTGAATCTGTTTGCATTAGTATGATGTAATTGATATACTTTAATTTCAGATATAGTTTTAAAATATATTTCGCATTATAATCATGGCCCTAGACAGGATGAGCATCTCCCTGAAGGTTGTTCATTGTACTCTTTGAGTAACATCTATATTGTTGAGATGTTTCTGTCCCTTGGGAAAGCCTGAATATCCTAAAACTAATTCCTGGGGTTGATTTGAGTTCCCAAAATATTTGGTCTTCATTTATAAAATAGTTTAAATTTTTCTCCTAGTGAATTATCATGGTATTCCACATGGGGATTTGAGGACATTACGTCAAAACTTCAAACATTTTGCCACTTACTGAAGGTGGATTGAAGCTTTTTTCTAAGTATGAGGGCTCCAGTGGCATGCTGCCCTGGCCTTAAAGCTATTTGGACACATGGCTTGGGAATCAATTGGGAACATTTCAATATTTCATCAACTTTTATAGTTGGTGTTTTACTTATAAACTCTCATTCCTTGAAGGCATCAAAGCATTTCCAAATACATCACACCGTAAACTTGGTGACAACAGTCTCTATGTGATTTTCTCCATTTCTGCTGACCACTTGTAATTAGGGAAATGAGTAATAATGGAATGAACCTCCATGAGCTAAAATAGTCGATGTGGTTCAAGCT